TTCTGAACTGGTATTCATTTGGCTTTAATTTGAGAAATGTGGAAATTGGGCACAGCCATGTACTCTCCAAACAAAACTGGCTCTCACTCAGATGAGTCAGCCAGTTAGGAAACATCCAAAAAAAAAAAGAGAGAAGAAAAGTCTGCCTCAAAATTCTAAAGAAAATCTGAAATATTGCAATTTTCTGTCATTGTGCAAGAATTCTCAGTTAGGATTTGTGGGAAACTTGGCTATAGAACATTCCTCTAAGGCAGTGGCTTCCATCTTGGAGTGATTTGGGCTCCAGGGGATATGTGACAACGGCTGCATCCATCAGAGGTGATCAACAATTGGAATGGGAAACTTCTGGAACCTCATGGGTCGAAGTCAGGGATGCTGCTGAACCCTAAAACCACAATATAGTCACCACAAGGAATGATTACCTGGTCCATATGTAAGTACACGAGTTCCTGGGTGACAACAAACAGTTAAGCTCTTGACTAGTAGCCAAGAGCTTGGCAGTCTGACCCCACCCAGTGGCACTGCAGAAAACAGGTCTGGCAATGTTCTTTTAAAAGGTCACAGCCTTGAAAACCCAATAAAGCAAGTTCTGCTCTGCACACATGGGGTCACCATGTGTCAATCGATTCGATGGCAACCAACAGCAGTAGCAAACAGTGGCTTAGTTAACAGATAGACCACATGTCATCAGGAACAAGTCTGAGAAGCCCCGCTCCATGATGCAGGAAAGCCTTTTTAAAAGCACAATTTGCCATAAACAGAAAAACAAGGAACTAGTAAAAACTACTTACTGAAAATAAAAAATATGGGCTGTATCCTGAATTCTACTGAGAATTCCAAATACTAGAGCATTAAAATAGAGAGCCGCGGGGTAAACAAGAAAAGCAACGTTCAGTAATTAAGAGTCAACGTCAAGTAGAGAAGGTGCCAACCAGCCTGACCCCGAGTTGGGTCTTCACGTGGGATTATTCCGTGTTGACGGTGGGTTCAGCCCTGCCAGCTGGCAGGGAATATTCAGCCTCCTCAACAAACAGATTCATCAATTTGTAAAGCTTCCATTCTTCAGGAACCTTTCTAAGACAATATATGAAATCCATTTTCTACCGATTTTACTTGAAGATGAGTCACACAAGAGGCCAGCTATAGCTTGATTTCAGGCTTTTAAATAAGGAGAGTAGCTATTGAAAAAAATTACAGGGTAAGAAAAGCAGACAACAGCACTAAAAAGACTCTGAATCATTCTAATTTTTATGGGGAGTGGGGGATGAGGCACATCCTTCTCAACCAATTCGCATCACTTTGCTTCAAAAAATAAACATATATATCATGCTGACAATTTTATGCCACGTTTCACATGCTGGAATTAAGAGTTTTAGGAAAACTACTTGGAAAAATCAAATGGGAAAGCATAAAATGAGATGGCCAAGAAGCAGTATCACAACTATTATCACTACTACATCTATTACCATTCAGGGTAAATAATTGCATGATGTTTTTTCTCCAGCCTGTAACTGGTCCCCCCTCTCTCTGAATCCCTCTGTATGTACTTATACTCGTATGTCCAGAGAATCAGGAGAAAAGCTGAGTTTCACTCACACTGGAGTCCCTGGGTGATGCAAACAGTGGATGTGCTCCACTGCTAAACAGAAAGGTTAGTGGTTTGGATTTATCCAGAGGTGCTTCGGAGGAATGGCCTGGCATTCAACTTCTGGTAAAAATCAGCCATTGCAAATCCTCTGAAGCAGAGTCGTACCCTGACACAGACAGAGTCACATGACTTACAGTCCACTCTACACATGTGGATTTTTTTAACCCTCGCAGTGCCACAAGTCCCCTGGGGTAAAAGTCAGTAGAGAAGAAATTTACATATGAACATTTCAGATCTACAAAGGGGATGTGCACGTGGATAAAAAGGCCATAAGCATTGCTTCACGGAATTTAGGAGCATTTTGAAAGGAAAATTTAAATTTCTGGTTATTAATGGAAATTTACAAATGAAACCCTGAACTTTGAGGTAGCGATCAGTGAGCTTTTCCAGTACTATGTTGTTGCTGTTGTTCTTAGGTGTCACTGAGTCACTTCCAACTCACAGCAGCCCTGTGCACAACAGAACCAAACACTGATTGCTCTTATACCATCTTCACAATGGCTCTTGGATTTGAGCCCATTGTTGCTGCTACTGGGTTTTTGGGGGGTCTTTTAGTGACATAAAAAGATGGGCAGTAAAACTACAGTTTCTCTTTTAGAGCAAGCATGAAATCAACAGAAGAAATAGTTTATAATGGAATTAGACATAGAATTTGGATATTACCTGCTCTGAAACCTTGTTAATGAGGAGTTAAGTAACTTATCATTTATGATCACTTAACAAGTCAGGGCTAAAGTTGAACTCTGCTAAGCAAAGCCTGATAGAAAATAAACATGATTAATACTACCAGTCACTGGAGAAAGATATAATGTTTGATAACAT